TCCTACCTGAGGACTAGATTTGGGGGCAAAAATCCAAGGTTTGGGTTCCAGCTCTGCTCCTTCCTGGCTGTGTAACCCTGGGCGAGCCGTGGGACCTCCTTGCCCCAGGTCACCATCAGCACTCAGGGTTAACACCACCTCACACGTCCATTGGGTGGTGGGAGTGAGAGGAACACACAGGAGGGGACGCCGGGCTGACAGCTGACACCAGCATGGTTCCCACAGTTCCAAGACTGTAAGACGTCTTGGCTGTTGGCACGCTGTTGCTAAGAAAAGTCAGAGTGGGCATCCTGGCTCCAAGAATTCCTCCCATGGAAAATTCCTCTGTCTTCCTCACTCTTCAGCTTAACAATTCTGAGTGTCTTTAAATGTTCAGCAGGGCACATTTGACGCTGTCATTCTTCCTGCGTCCAGTCGGTCACAGAGTGACTTTCATCTGTGTGTTTGGTGGTATCTCCCACTCACGTTCACTGCCCAGGGCCAGGGCTTCAGAGATCTGGGGAGTGGCCCCAGAGTTCTGTGTTAGATTCCCTCATGATTAGACTGGGGTCACTGGTAGATTTGTCCCTCGACTCAGCACGCGTGACTGAGGGTGGCAGTGAGACCAGCAGGGCTGCGTAGAAGCCAAGCCTCCTCTAAACTCCAGCGCCTCTCAGGAGCACGTGCAGCCTGATTCACTGTCACGGGCCACAGACAGGGCTTTCCTTTCAGGAAAAGGTGACTACGGAGTGACCTCACTTAGCCCGGGCAGTTCAGGCGAGAGAAAAACCCTGAGCGTCCTCTCCGTGCAGGAACTCAAGTGCTGGTGCTGTCATGTAGCGTTTGGGTGACAGCCTTCATAATAAGCAAACCTTTCTGAACCCGAAACACAATGAAATGTCCTCGGTAATTTATGTACACACACCCTTTGGTGAATAATTTTTGCACCATTCGGCCTTTCTCCAGTGCCAACTGGAGTGAGCATTTGGGAGGCCATCGATGAGGAAGTGATGTCCGTGCGGTCAGATGGACTGAACCTGAGTACGTGGTAAATGAGCGGTATCTTTGCCTGAAGAAATTAAATGCTGCACCGTGGGCAGGTTGTAGGTAAAAGATCAAATGTGTGATTCCCAGCTAACCCTCAACAGCCCGATTATCTACAGCGGTCAAGTTCAGGACAAAACCCAGCCCTTCCTTTGATAAGCGGACTAAGTTACTCTTGAAAGTGAGAAACCCAAGAAGCATTCAGAAGGAAGGTGGGTAGAGAAAACCAAACAAGGACTTAGCTGCAAGGCACCTGTTTTGCTCATGAAACAGAGGTTCCCCTTCCGTGTGTGGGAATCCTGCCTTGTTAGCACAAGCCATGGTCAGGTGTTTCTGAGTGAGCGGCGTTTGCAGACAGGTGCCCAGAGGGAATGCTGTTCACCCGTATTTTCGAATGCCCCAATGTCTTCAGTGCCCTGGCTCCTCTCCAGGTGGCATGTTACCTAACAAGGAAACTGCTCAGTGAGCTAACTG